CCTCGCGATGTATCGGTAGTATCGTTAAGATATTCGCGAATATTATATGATAATAATTAAGATATCCTTGAGTCAAATACGAGAGATTCTCGAGAATTATATTGTAATAATAAAATATTGCTTACATTATAATTAACATTGATTACAATATCGTGCGAGACTCGTGGTAAGGAAAACACATAGGAATGTAGTGGTTGAGAGGTGTGATTCGTAGATAGGGTCCGATGTAAATATCGGCAGGCTCGGGTAGGATCGGTTAGGATCGGGTAGGCTCGTGCTCAATTTTCCTCGAAGACTTCCTGTCTCAGTTATGTGTTATTCTTCGACGCGTTCGGATGTGTTGCTCGTGTGACCGACCTTCCTGTTGACTGGCACGCGCCATCGGGACTGAAATGGCAGGGTAAGTGATTAATTCTATCGTTATCAATAGAATAAGCATGGTCTCTCTAATTGTTCAACGTCCCTTTATAGCTGTAACTATCGATCGTGTAGTATTGTATTCCAGATAAGTTTTATTTTCGTTACAAACTTACACGCGAACTATAAAAAGAACAATGCGACCGAGTACGTATCAAATCTTTTAACAGCGTCACTCCAAACCGATTATTAGCACAAGAATACCTCATTTTGGGATGATTAGCAATATTTATATGCGAATTAGGAAATAATTAGGGGTTTCTACTGATGGAAAATTAAGATAGGACGATGCAAGAAAGCTGGGGGTTGTAGTAAGCAATAGGGTGGTGAGGATGAGTAAGGGATGAAGGGGGAAAGTTAGCCGGTCTGTAGTTTATCTAATATACATAGGTAAACACTTATAGATAACTAAATAGTCATCTAACAATAGAAATTATCATCCTTGCAATGTATTAATGGTATCATTAAGATATCGTTAAATCAAATACGAGATATTCGCGAAAATTATATGGTAGTAATGAAATATTACGCATATTATTCTCATCTTCGACTACAATGTCGTGTAAGGCTCGTGGTAAGGAACGCACAGGAATGTGGCGGTTGAGGGGTGGGGTACGTAGATAGGGACGGATGTAAACATCGTCAGGCTCGAGTAGGCTCGGGTACATATATATTATTCACATCTTCGACTACAATGTCGTGTATGGCTCGTGGTTAGGAAAACACACAGGAATGCGGTGGTTGAGAGGTGCGGTTCGTAGATAGGGTCCGATGTAAACATCGACAGCCTTGAACAGGCTCGTGCGCGATTTTCGTCGAAGACTTCCTGCTTCGGTTATGTGTTATTCTTCGACGTGTTCGCACGCGGTTGCTCCACGTGTGACCGACCTTGTTGTTGACTGTGGCACGCACCATCGGAACTTACATAGTACGGTAAGCTGTTAGCTGTATCGTTATCTATAAAATGATGCGAAATTTATTTTCTTCTTGTTTTATTATTACAATTATTAATGCAATTAATTCATCGCGATTTAGGTTACGTAGATTACGCGTATTCGGCTTATCGGTATCTCGTATCGGCAACATTCGGAAATCTGTCCATGTTCGTAAATAATTTTATCGATAGTCACGTCTCTAGGTTTCCTTGGCAACATGCATCAGGCTACCCGATTCATCGCACATTTATTTAAATCAACCCGCGTTCATCCTCCCTCTGCGCCAGCATCGATCATTTTTCAATTAAGCCTCGCCTTCATCGTTCACCGATTCGCCTCTCCTCTCGAAAATTCACCGAGTTTCACCCCTCGTGCAGAGTTAATTCAATATATTATTCGATTCCGATCGAATTTTCGTAATCATTCGTTTTATCGTATTATATTTATATTTCGCCGGATATCCCATAGTTTCAGCTCGAATCTATTCGTTCTTTTTCAATTTAATTTTGATCAATGTCACTCGTCAAAATTGTTCCGCGTCCTGGTTTCCACGGTCACGTATAAATCTCTGGTTTGCATTCTGAACGATTTAACGTGACAAGCACGCGTTTCGTACTTATGTTATTTTATTATTTACACGCAGTTGTAGCTTTCGTTAAAGAATAATTAGGAGAAGGGAAGGGGTAAAGAGGATTATCCTAAGGTGAATTTCTAATTTCACATCTCGAAGATCGATGCATCGCGGCAGTTAGGGCGAATTTTCGCTCCCGCAGTGGAGTAAGACGTCATGGTCAGACATCGCGTTACCAGACCTACGTCAAGCAGAGTTGATGTTTGCGGCGCAAGCTTGCGGCATTGCTTGCCTTCGCGAAGACAGGGCATTAAGCACGGCTAGTTTACACACAATGCACGCCGTTTGTATCGATTTTACGATACTCTTTTCCCCGACGTCGAATCGCGGCATTCGTGATCCCGCCATTAAGATTCTAGCACAGTCATCGTACATCGACTTCCTCCACTTTATTTCTAATCTTCGAACAGACGCTTCGGAGCTGAATTTATGGTTGCATCGGAAAAGCTCTTCGTACACAGGAAGATACCGCGGAGTGGCCATTTTTTACTCAGGCTGGAAACGAAAATTACATGCAGGATCAGATCGGTTGTTACTTGAAGTGATAGAAAAATTGTGGGAAATTAATAGGAATACGTGAATACCATAGTAATCGAATCCATCCAATCTGTGTAGGTCGAATTTGATGAAATTCATGTGAGAGATAGTTTTCGAAAAAATAAATAGTGGAAACAGTTCCCAAAGATAGTGGTGGAAAGCATAGTCTTTGGAATATCTCAAGAACCAATAGGACTGGAGAGAAATTTTCCCTTTCTTTCTTTAAAATATACCTTTTTCATGGGGAATTCAGTCATGTAGAAATTTCTGTGAAAAATTAATTCGTTTGAATATTTTTCATCGTTTGACATACTAAATGTTAATTCTATAGTGGTGAAAAGCATAGTTTTTGGAATATCTCGAGAACCAATAGGGCTGGCGAGAAATTTCCCTTTCCTTTCTTTAAAATATACCTTTTTCATGGGGAATACAGTCATGTGGAAATTCCTATGAAAAATTAATTCGTTTGAATATTTTTCATCGTTTGACATACTAAATGTTATTCTATAGGTCAAAATAGGGGATACGTATTTTTAGAATCTTTTATTTTTCCTCTATAAATAATTACGATATGTATAATTTTCAGATCGTATTCTAAGAGTATAGTAATCTATTTCAATTGATTAATTCTTATTGGTGTAGAATATGTTCTATATTCATACGTCTTACGCATGAATTTTATTTTCTCTATCCTCTTCAGGATAATTCAAAATTGAAGCAGGATTAGAAGGAACAAATGGACGATTTTATTTATAATTTCTTCAAAAAGCGATAATTCTATTTTTATTTCTGATTTCTCGAATGACCGTTTCATCGATCCAAAAGAGTTGATAAATAGCCACTTTCTAGCATCGTCTATTTCCTTTGCGAAATTGTAAGAGGAAGATTGATAGAGCCACTTGGAAAAAGTGGGAATAAAAGAACGCGCGGTTTGCGTAATTTCTTACGGCGAAATCGACACGGTTAGTCAAAGTGGATTTACACGAACTCGTGGAAAACATCATAGGAAATGGGTAACCGCGTTTTGGGACCTGTACGACCGTGAAGAAGTTTTATCGCGGTACATTCGCCCTCGCTATAGAGACGCTCGTAATCTTTACGGGGTATCGTGAATTCACCCTGTCGTCCCCTCTCCTCTCCCCTTCGCTACTCCTTTTTATCCATTTAATGCGATTCATGGGAGAAATTGAAAGTGCGTTCCGTTCGAAATGACGCTTCGTAGCTGTTGGCGCGAATGCATCAAGTTTTCCGCGGCCCCGTCCAATTCCATTACCCGTTCCCGTTATTTTATTCCTTTCCGTATTCTACCCCTTTGCACCGGTATGAAAATTTACGATGCAAATTATCGTATAAATCGCGCCGGCTGTGGTTCATCGCGGGATTCGCGGCAGTGGAACAAGTATGCAATTATGCAAACAGCGCGGCGGAGGTCGAGCGAGATTTTTCAATTAAACGCTTCAATTAAAGTCTCCCTGGAGACGGTCAAGAAACAGGGAAACGGGAAAGCAGAGTTTCTTTGGTATTCGGGATCGTTCGTGGCAGCTTTTATTAGTTTCGCGAATTACATTGTTTCGGCGTTGATTTTCTTCGGGCGCATAGAGCGCGCACGTAATTGCGGTCTATTGTTAATTTCGACGGCCTTTGTTTCCGATATTTTTTCACGTTGCGCAATGAAAGGGTAGTAGAAGTTGCCGAGTTCGACCAAGTATAATCGATAGGCGACGAGGAAGGTGTGCGTAGTGGACGCAACCGCGCGAAGGGAAACTGTCCGTTTATTGTCAGACGGGAACCGTGTTCCCCTATACGCAGGGATAGAAACGGTTTCTGAAATAACTATAAATAACCATTACGTACAGATTCCCTTTAAAATATCCCTCGTTTCATGGAACCTCCTTCCGAAATATCCATTATACATCGGTCCCATGTCGGGTTTAATTTGGTCCTCTTTCGGACATTACTTCGGAGCATGGACTTGGTCAACCAAGATGGACGTGATATAAAAATATCGCCATTTCCAATTCCAGAGAACTGTGTCATGTCGATGACGATATCCTGAGAAACATAAAATAAGTGACATAAAATTCTGCGATGCTTCTCCGATAGCCAATTATACGATTTATTAATTTCCTCACTTTCGTTATAAATTTATACCCCGGGAAAGTTGTTATTAATAATATTAATTTATTATTAGCGACGAGTTTAATGATTTATTCATCTCCTGGAAATTGAAATTATATAAATTTCCATATTTATATACCTGTTGAAATATTTTTATTACCTTTTGTACGACGATGGCGGAAAAAGTTAAATTAATTGCCAGTCATCGTTGTGGAATATTTATGATTAATTAAATAGAAACGGTGCAGAATCGAATTTTAAAATTCACCGGGAGCCTAATTTGAATGGACGCTTTTACCGATTTTTAAAAAATATTAAAATCTTCGAAATGCTAATACGAGAATTTCTCTTTTCTGTTGCAGGTACGGTGACATGGTTCCGAAAACGATCGCGGGAAAAATCGTGGGGGGTGTATGCTCCCTTAGCGGTGTCCTTGTGATCGCTTTACCGGTGCCTGTTATCGTCAGTAATTTCAGCCGAATATATCACCAGAATCAGCGGGCTGACAAGCGAAAGGCGCAGAGGGTGAGTGCGATATTTTTTACATTTCTCCTTATCGACTCGACATATCCGTGCCAGAGTAACGTCGAATTGAAAACGGTCGCGCCGATTCGTCATTCGATTTATGGACCATCTATCTCCGCGTTGTTAATCTGTTATCAGTAACGCGTGTTATCGCGAACGAGCACGGCTCGCTCGAAATTTAATTCGACCTTAATTCCGGCCCGATCCAGCTGTAATTCAACGGATCGCCGGCGATTCGAGGGCGGATCCGATTAACATTAATTTACCTTTTATGGTAGTCGAGATTCCATCTACTTTTTCCGATTCGATTCTTTCCAACTGCCACGAAAAAAAAGAGAACGCGGAGGGAAGATTCGAGAATGATTTCAATATCTCGAATAGGGGAGTTCGATCATGGTTTCTTGAAGGGGTAGATCGACTACTTAATAACTTATACAGATCTGTATTTTACGGCGGGAATAATTTTTTTTTTTTATTTTTCATGGAAAAATATTATGCGACGCTACTCGGTGGGGCATTCATTGAAAAATTAATTGCGCGTGTAATTATTTTTTTTAACAGATTTGATATCAAGTAAAGTATACTTTTACTGACAAAATCATTTGCGAATGTTTCCACATTTTTGTTTTTCGAGAGACACATATTAAAATTAAAAATTGGACACAGAGATAAGTCTCGAGTGTTTTGTACAAATCCAATTTTTGACCCTTTGCACTCGACGACTTTTTCGTTACAGAAAAATAGTAATTCGAGGACTTTCAGTCATAGAGTCGACGAAATTTTTAAAATGGTAAATGAGAAATTATATGCAAATTGAGACGTAAAATTATTTTTCTTCGACATTCCACACATCGTTAGGTAATTTTATATTTCATATACTATTTAACGTCGATCTTTAGAATTTGATTAAATGGTAACTGAGAGTCACCTCTCGAGTGCAAAGGGTTAATTTTAATTTACGTATCTCGCAAAAGAAAAAATTCACAAAGATTCGCAAATTATTATTTTGTTTGTTAACTTTAATTAGGGGATCTGTAGGAATCAGTAATTGCAAATCTCCGTAGCTCAATTCGGTATATTTATATTATATTATTTCTATTATACAATGGGATATAGCATTTGGTATACTTGTGGTCGCCCTTGTTCTTCGCTCGCTCTGTCATGTATACTAATAATAGTTAATTAACGAAAAGAACGATGGGTGACGATATCCCATTTGTAAGAATATATATAGGAATACCAGTCCGAAAAGAGAAGACAATAAACAGTCGTTAAAGAGTCCTTAGTTGTTAGACAGAGTTTAGGGAGTTCTTAGAAATAGCATATTCAGCCAGTCCTTATTGTTAGGATATTATTAGTAGTACCCTCGTTACACATTGTATACAAACGTATTGCATATTGAACACGATGAAAGACAGTCACACGTAGTATCCGTTACAACGATATTCGGTTGAAAGAATTTATAGGAAATTAAAAGCTCGGAGACCGATCCAGCAGCCTCGATTATCCTCATCCGATGTATCAGATCGCGCGATTTGCTGTCCCATAACGCGCGTTTAAGTATGCGACTCGTGTCTCGTGAAATGTTTTCGTCCGTTTTCCTCGCGTACACACGCCCGGCGTATCCGCAAATAGCCGTGTCACTATTCGCGCCACGGACTGTTCACTTTATTCTGGTACACTGGATATCGATATTGTTGGATGTTGTCTTTGGACCCAGTTGCCCCGCCCCAAGGCCAGAGCGCGGCAAACTTTCAAGCAGACACCGAGGTTTTTCCTCTCTGTGCTATCATAGATCGCGATGCATCGCGAATTCTGACATTTCGAATGCCACTTGCCTCGCGCCGCTCACGACCAACCTATTTCTGTATCCGTCTTTCAAGCGAATTTCAATTTCGACGTTCCATCTTTGAAACTCGGCCGCGAAACGTGCGATTAAAGCGAGGGAAACTCGCGGATTTCAATCCGAGACGTTTCGAATATAAAATATAGAGGCCAACCACCTGGCGGATTCAAGCTGTTCCCGACTTTCGGAACATGCACGAGCAGGCGACATGATTAATTTCCCCATGGGTCGGTCTTTTTTTACTCTTTCCAAACATTCTGCCTCCCGGTTAATCTCGATCCCGAATATAAATAGATCCTCCGTCCACGATCGTTCTCCGAGCAACTTCGCTGTCTAACACTCGCGTAATGACGGGACTTAATTCGACGTTACGTAACGCGATCGAGTTGGGCTGTATCGTGGTGCCGTGTGGTTATCTTACCGGGTGTCACCGGTGTCCAGGAATGCGAGCAATCGATTAGAACGAGCCGAGTTCATGGGTAGAGAAAATGGAGTAGGTGAGGGTATTTCGACGCGGAGGGACAGGTGTCGAGATCCGTGATTTCTTTCTGGGTATTTTCAGGCCTCGGAATTCCCGTGGATCGCCGGTGCGAATACCAGCCAAAAATAACCTCTCGACGAAATTCGACAACCTGTTTCGCGGATATCGATGCCGCGCGATCGAGTACTCTCACCTCGAGAAAGCGGACTTTCTGGACACCCCCGATGCTCGATTTAGCTCTCGAACAGAAATAGTCGTTGCATTGTCTAGCTTCTATTTTCACGCGACACACAGTGTCGCAGAATTTCCTCGGCACGATCATCGACGCCTTTCCTATTCGCGATATGAGAATCAACAGACAGTCGTTCCGTCGTGATCCCCGAAAAGGGAAAAATAGATAAAGATTTCTCTTGTCCATTGAAAAGTGGAAGCGGTCGTGAAGGAGGAACCCCCGGTATCGAAATTATATTCCGTTGAAGCCGCTTAGCTATTTTTAATCGACCGCCAACATTTTATTAGCACGAACATCAAAGACCTCTGGTCGAGAGGCGCTCCATAGCATCCGCGATAGCGGATGCTAATGACGGCTACGATTGCCCTCAGTTCCTGTGGCCGGGGCCTTTAATCGTCGAATGGAAGCCACCGATTATCCCCGGGTGCTTTCGTTTCGCGACTCCGCTAAACCGGTCTATTCGATCGAGTATCCATTAAGCCGCGAATACATTTTACCCGCAGCCGCCTCCGTTTACCCTTGCACGCCCCCGTGCCCCGCCATTTCCTTCCCGTCGCAGTTACCTGCAATTGTTCTCGTTAAAGTTGAAGAGACCATCGAGTGTCTTGACACAAAAATCCCGTTCGCCGACGGTGTATGTTTCCTCCGACAAATTGCTCTTGGAAATGTTAAACGGGCCTGCTCGATCGTGCCATTATTTCCCGGCGACCCGACGAATCGCGTGTCGTGTTCAATCAGCGCGGATCAAAGGGAACTACTCGAGTTACCGGCAGTTTCTCGAACCCGGCTGCGTGGTGTCGCTGGATTTTATTTTCCCCAGGTGTCCGAAACGTCGACAGGACTGACAATCGTCGCCGTCTCCGGTTCGCTTCGCTTTCGAGGCCGACGAACGAAGACTCGCGCGTGCGAGGCCCGCCTGGTAAAATTTAACGCCGGCCAGAAGTGGCGTGGATCGCGCGAATCGGGTCCCCGAGTCGTGATTTCTTCCGCCGGGATCAGAGATCTTACGGTGGCTGAGAGATCGAGTCGAGGTTCTAGCCGGAGGTTTGGCTTGGCTGACGGCCAGCGGCTACCCTCAGTTCATTACCACTATCCCGTGTTCCGCGAGAGACAGAGGCAGCTGGCCGAATAAAGTGGCGGCCAGTATGATCTCGGTCGGGGAACTTCCGGTCGTTCCGCGGGGCTGATTGATGGCGATTGTTGCTCCCCCGTGCTGCGTCGCGGTCCAGAGTGCAGGATCTTTAGGGGTTAACTGCCCTTCTTCCCTCTCCGGCTACCGGATGTCCTATTTTCGTATATATAATTGCTTGCTCGGGCTCCTCTAATATTCCTACACTCCACCGTGGAAATACGATTTTAGTTCTCGGAACTCGATCGTTTCATCGTCGCGGCGGGTTCAGATTTTCCGTCGCGAAGTACCAATTGGCGGTTTATTTGGAGTGCAATGCAACGGCGCTACTTCTGCCGATGGTCGAGATAAACAGCGCGACCGCGAAGCTTGCCATTTATTTGCATGAATCGAAGCAAGAGCAGTCGCCATTCTTCATTTTTCCCTACTTCCGCTCGTTCGTTATTCCATCTTCTATTTTTCCGTGGAAAAGTGCTCGCACTGCAATCCGTAATTGACGGTGTATTTCAGTTCTACGTGACCTGGATTAACCAATGTGCGACTCTTTGAAGAATATCGCGCTAAAAATATCCTCGCTTCTGTCATTCTACGCGTCTCCAGATTTATTTATAGCTAACCCTCGATATTTCTGAAGATCGTTAGATAAATTATACGCAAAGTGACAGATTCTACGTCTACTATAGCATAGCGGTGTTGCGAGAATGCGCTGCGCTAGAATCCGAATATACCACCGATGCAATGGCACTTTTTAGCCTGGAATCTGAATAGCGTGATCGCGCTGCGTGTCTGGGGAACATAAACGGTCGATATCGTTTTCGATATATAAATCGAAACAAGTGGCAGGTATTTCCCGATAAGATTTTCCCAGCAACCCCTGCCATTCAGTCAACCGAACTCGTTACCCGTTCCGAAGCCTCTTCTCACGCGATTCGCCTTACGAAGATTCATCGCGGATCTTTCAAGCACGCCGGCTAAAGCCGTGCACATTCAGCTCGCGTCTGGTTAAATGCCGTTCTTTCACGCGGGCTCGAGCCAAGTCGACGAAAAAAGCCACAGACTGACGTGGACTCGCATTAAGGGGCGCGAAATTCAGCGAGTCAAAGATCAACGGCGAAGTTTTTGCAAATTAGGAGGCGGGTTGACAGTCTGCCGACAATTCGCAGCCCTGAAATCGGAGCTCGTTTTCTTTCGCGGCCCGGTGCAATCTGCAATGCAGATGCGTCGTATCTACATATGCATGGCCACGCTTGTTCCGATTCGCGGTTTCGGACACCGACGGATCCTGTCTTCCCTCTGGCCCCTCCTGCTTTTC